CCCCAAAACCCCAAAACCCCACATCATCAATATAATCCATTATTGTGGGAGTAATTTTAAAATCCCACGCTTGAATTTCCTAATCCAGTATTGTTTTAATTTCCATTATTATAGCTAGATTAGCCTTAGTTATAATCCATTCCACCTCCATTTATATCATTCATTCTATAATCCATCATTTCGTGTTTTACTGCATCCTCCTTCATTCCTCCTTAATATTAATCTCCAATTTCACTTTCTTAGAATGATTTTAAGGGATCTTTCATAGCTAATTTTGGATTCATGTTAGGAAGTTGCTTCTTTTTATAAACCAAATCTATCTATTAAATATTATCCTCTTATCCTGGATACAGCTCTCTTAATATCTCTATTAATCTCATTTTGAATTTAAAAGGCCTCTTATTATCAATGAAAGTATTCTAGTGATTAGGATATTTTCTCATAAAATCGTAGTAGCTTTTGCCAGGATAAAACTCAAAATTAGGCCATTCATCCTCTTTGCATGAATTTTTATGAGCTATTAAAATTCCTATGTGAATTAATGTAGCTGTTCTGCTTGCCTTTAATCTGATTCTTTTAATCATAGTTGGATAAACTCTATTCTAATCCATGTCATGAGTGATAGTGATATCAAGATCTGGAGGGAGTAATATATTTTTAAGGTTGGCTTTCTTTTCTTCAATCATTCGAATTACATGGTTTGTATCAACTCCTCCCTCAGCACCTCCAAATCCTGCTGAACCCTATGGTTTTTTCGCTTTTGGAGGAAGTCCTTGATCTTACCTCTCTTTTAAGATCCTTTCTTTTCTTTCCTCCATACTTTCAGGTCCTTTTCTTCGGAATTCGTTTGTCACTAGTCTCCTTTGCTTTTCTTTTTTTTCTTTGAGTTACTTCTACTCTTAGATAATCTTCCTTCTAATTTCTTAATTCTCAAGTTCTTCTTGTTTCTGTAGTTTTATAAAATCATATTTCAATGTATCCATAAGAGCAGAAATATTTTTATCAGGTCTAAGCTATCTTCTATTTCCAATTGATTTTCTACATAGAGGGCATTCCTTTTTACCAAGCCTGTTGTAAGATTCAATACAGTTGTTGCA